TGAGGATCCCCCATCCACTTTCTACAATGAATTGAGAGTTGCTCCAGAAGAACATCCAGTCTTGTTGACTGAAGCTCCTTTGAATCCAAAGGCCAACAGAGAAAAGATGACTCAAATCATGTTTGAAACCTTCTCAGTTCCAGCAATGTATGTTGCTATTCAAGCTGTCTTGTCCTTGTATGCTTCTGGTAGAACTACTGGTATTGTTTTGGACTCTGGTGATGGTGTCTCTCACACTGTTCCAATTTATGAAGGTTATGCTTTGCCACACGCCATTTTGAGATTGGATTTGGCTGGTCGTGACTTGACTGATTATTTGATGAAGATTTTGATGGAAAGAGGTTACTCATTCAATACTACTGCTGAAAGAGAAATTGTCAGAGATATTAAGGAAAAGCTCTGTTATATTGCTTTGGACTTTGAAGCTGAAATGAAGGTTGCTGCTGAATCATCCTCTGTTGAAAAGTCATACGAATTGCCAGATGGTAATGTCATTACTGTTGGTAATGAAAGATTCAGATGTCCAGAAGTCTTGTTCCAACCTAATTTCATTGGTATGGAAGCTGCTGGTGTTCATGAAACTACTTTCAATTCAATTGGTAAATGTGATATTGATATCAGAAAGGACTTGTATGGTAACGTTGTCTTGTCTGGTGGTACTACTATGTTCGAAGGTATTGCTGAAAGAATGACCAAGGAATTGACTGCTATGGCTCCTGCCTCAATGAAGATTAAGGTTGTTGCTCCACCAGAAAGAAAGTACTCTGTCTGGATTGGTGGTTCCATCTTAGCGAGCCTTTCGACCTTTCAGCAGATGTGGATAACAAAAGAGGAATACGAAGATGCCGGTCCAGGTATTGTCCACAGAAAGTGTTTCTAATTATTTTATTCGAAACATGTTAATATTTAGATTGAGTGTAGTTCAATAACTACAATCAAGTTTGATGATATTTCTTTTTATTAAGAAGTTCTTTGCGAGTTTGTAAATGTAAAATAATAATTGATTTATTAATTGATTACTTGGAGTGTTTCTTTTTCGATTCTTTCTTGGAAACTTTTTTCTTACTGACCTTTTTCTTCTTGCTATCAGTTTCCGAAGAAGAATCATCACTGTCTGACTCGACATGTTTCCTCTTGTTGTTTTTCACCTTCTTACTAGATTTCTTGGCCTTCTTGTTTGCTGAGCTAATTGCTTCACCAAGCTCTTTTTGGTGGGCGTTGGCAATTGTTTGTCTTGTCCTTTGTTTAGACTCATTCTTTGCCAAACGCAGCTCTTGTTGTCTTGTTGTAATGGCTTCTGAAATGTCTTGAGGAATTGAATTTAAAGATATGGTTTTGAGTAATAATTTTAAAATACCATTATTCTTCTCAGTGTTGTCAAAGGTAACATATTTACCTGCCAGCTCGTGCAAACTCTCTTCAGTCAATGTCAGTAATCCCCTAGCTAATGATTGTCTGGCTTCTGAATCGTGCTTAATGTACACACCTCCATACTCTTCTAAAAAACCATCTATACCTTGAATCTGTTCTAATTGCTTTCTCACTTCAAGAGTTCTGAAAAGCATATAACGATTTTTCATGAAATAACAGCGAGACTTAATCTCGACCTCTGCATATCCACCGACAATAGGTTTCCCATGTGGTTCAAAACCATTCTCTCCTTTTTTGTATTCAACCATTTCATACTCTGACGAGGAGTGAACCTTTAATTCCATGTATCTTTCTGGA